GCAATGGTATTTTATAATTAAATGTCATATTATTGGCAAATATTTTCTTTTAAAGTGAAAAACCACAATTTAGCCATATTATTCTACAAGGTTAATCTCACTTTATTCGTTAAATTATTTTCTTTTTTTTTATATTTTTTTTCCATTTCATTCGTAAATTATTAATTTCATTTAATTCTAAAGCTTTAAATTTCAATTAATATGATCCAATTCGATCACCCTTAAAACTTAATTTGATGGGTAAAAGGTTAATTTCAATATGAATAATTTAAATTATACAATTAAGCATTTATTAATTTATAATTTTTAAATCAGGAGCATAGAATATAAATATTTGGTTTTAGGGCGTTAATTGTCTTTGCAAATATGGGTGTTCGAAATATAAAAAATGAATATAGTTTAGAAAATAAAAGTGATTTAATTCTATTGTTTACAATATATACTACTTACCTAATATTATTACTGAAATGATTATTCTAAATTAGAAAATGTTCCGATGTACAATTTATATATTTTGTGAGATTATTTATATAAATTTGTAAAAATTTATATAATTTTATATTACAATTACATGTGTGCCTTGCACGCCAAATAATTTTCCTTCTAAACGAATGTGCAACAGAATTGGATAACAAATCCTTGATGACATTGCTAAGAGGTGGAACAAATTGAATATGGAAAAATGCTTGTGACCCCCTCCCCCCCTTTTTTCTTTTTTTAAGACTTTCATAATTTTTTTTGGATCTCAACCATTGATATATATGTGGGACCCACTCATGTATGTGTGGGCCCCACACCATCTGTTAGAATAGTAGAGAGAGAGAAAAAAATAATATGTATTGTATTGAATGAATTGTATTGAATGATTTGTCCTATACAATAGAAAGCATGTATATATAGGATGAGAAAGAGTATCTTATTAGAAATCTAACTATGAAAAAAAGTATCCTATAAGAGATCTAACTATGACAATACTTAATGTATTTAGGAAATTAATACCTAATATATGTAGGAATGTATACCATAAATACATTAACATCCCCTCTCAAACTCAAGGAGGATAAACATCTTGAGTTTGGAGAGAGAAACTAAAACATGAAATAAAATTAAATAAAATAAAAAGGCATATAGATTACAAAATCCGAACGGGAGCGCAAGGGCGCTTGAAATAGATCAAAGGTCGGAACTAAGGAGACAGTTTATGATCGTGTTGGACCATTATAGAAACTGGCTAAAACTAATGTCAGGACAATTTAATGTCATGTTGGACCATTGCAGGAGCTAACTAGAATCAATGTCGGGACAATTTAAAGGAGTCATGCCAAACCAATGTAGGAGCTAACCGGAATTAATGTCGGGACAGTTTGAAGAGGTCATGCCGGACCGATGTAGAAGCTAACCAGAATCAATGTCGGGACAATTTAAAGGGGTCATGTCGGACCGATGTAGAGAACTGAATGTTGAACCAGCAAGTGTGGCACACACATAACTTATGATGTGGTGCTGAATAATGATGGCAACAGATGATTGAGTGCGCTAAGGGGCGGCTTGGATTGTGTGCAAAAAGAGGCGACTTGGGTTGTGTGCTAGAGTGGCAGCTTGGATTGTGTGCCAAAGGGAGCAGCTTGGGTAGTGCACCAAAGGGGGTGGCTTGGGTGCTTCGCATGATGTATGACCATACTCACCATGATATAGGTATAATACCTCCCCTCAAACTCATATAGGTTTGAAGATAGAAACATATTTAAGGTTGAAGCAAAGAGAAAGAGAGATTGAAAAAAACAAATAGATTGCTAGTAAAAAAAAAAAAAAGATAGAAATATTTGGGGTAAGAATTAACCAGCGGATAAAGGAAGATATCACCATGAAGCGATACTGGTAGGAAAATATGATAGCGGAATATGTTGAGGTCCGACGAGCGACCAAAGCGAGGCTATCGCGCCACGGGCAAAGCGAAATTGCTAGGTACTTAACCTAACTCTGATACCATGTTAGAATAGTAGAGAAAGAGAGAAAATAATATATATTGTATTGAATGAATTATATTGAATGATTTGTCCTATACAATAGAAGGCCTGTATATATAGGTTGAAAAAGAGCATCATACTATAAATTTAACTATGAGAGAGTATCCTATAAGAGACTTAATTATGATAATACTTAATATATCTAGGAAATTAATACCTAATATATGTAGGAATATATACCATATATACATTAACAAATAGTTGAGATCCAAAGGGGTTATGGGGTCTCCAAAAAAAAGGGTCTCAATCATTGTTGTTGAATATGCAAGAAAATTGAATATTCTATTTAGCCTTTGTTTTGCATGTCAGACTTTTTTGACTATTTTATTCATAAAAATATAAAATAAATTTTTTAACTTAATAAGATAAAACATCACGTCCAGACCATAATCATTTCATTTTTTTCTCACAAAAAAGTCAAAAAAACTAAAAATCATATTCTAAACGAAACTTTTTAACCCCAGGTTAAAATAGCTAAAAAGCCAAATACCCAAAAAACCAACCATCATCCCAAATGAACCCTTAGATGTTTTGGTCATATCATTTTTAAAAAATACTTAGGCCATGTTTGGAAAGTTGGGTTTGAGAATTTTTGACTAAAATAGTCACAAAAAACAAAATAGGCTTGTTAGCTTAATAAAACAAAATATCACATTTAATGCATAATCATTACATTCTTTCTTTCACAAAAAAATTAAAAAAGTTAAAAACTCTTCCCAAACCAAGCTTTTTAGCCCCAAACTAAAATAGCCAAAAAAGCCAAAAGCCAACCCACTTCCCAAACAAAGCCTATGTGAAGCAAACACATATAGATGGTGTCGTCCTTTTTGGAACAATTTTGATTTCATTATTTTGAAAATGTTTTGAATAGTGCAATCATGAAAATCATTTTTATTCCAAAGTAAATAACACAACCTTCACCCACTAGCATGCATAGAGTTATATCAAATAGGCACATAGCCACATGGTAGGATGCTAAACATAGTAAGAAAATCACACACATGTAGGATGCTACAGCACAAAAACTTACATATTTACTGACGTCCCACAAATAGGTACAAAACAAACTTAGTAAAAAATGCATGATCCTACACACAAGTTCCTAATGCAATTCACTCATGAAATGCAACTGCACATCTGACTTCTAATATATAACATGTGAATAATCTCAAAACATGAGGTAGCTCACAAAATCATATAATAATCGATTAAACCCACATATGCAAATTTAGCCGGATCTTAAGGCATAAAACATAGATGCAAAGCATGGATATGATGACAAACATGATATACTAAATATTCACGGCATATGGAAAGCAAATGAAAGAACAGGATAGAAAGAAGCGGGAATGTGGAATTATTACATTGTTTTGAATATTACAAATCTGAATATCGAGGGGAAGAGGAAAAATATTACAACAAAATATATCCTCGCAAACACTCTCTAACTAAAGAAAAAAAAAAAGAAAAAAAAAAAGCTTTAAGGGATCTCGGAGACCATCGGGGACTGTTTTGCTTGACACATGAGACTGCTTGGTTCTATTTAGGAGAGAGTGGTTGGGCCAGCCAAAAGACGAACTAGCTGGCCAAAAAATTAGTTGGTCGGCCAAGTAGGCCAATTAGGCCAGACCAAAAACTCTATTTTGCTCAAACAGCAAAAAAAAAAAAAAAAAAAAACAAAAAAAAAAAAACCAAATAGCCCAACTAAAACAAAACAAAAAACCCCAATTGGGAAGTAATGGTTTTAGCCTAAAAATTAACGTTTGTTAGGGAAAATCGATGTGATTCCCCACAAGTAAATCAATTAATGGGAATAAAAATTAATGCGGAAAAATTAAATCAAAGGCAACACAAGAATTTTTACGTGGTTCCCTCAATGTGAGGTACGTCCACGGGATCGAAATCCGATTCCACTATCAACCAAATAAGTTCCAAACGATTACAAACGAGACACTAATGGTCTCACAAAACCACCCTTAGGTGAATTCCAAATAATCACAAGTAAACAAAGAGGAAAGACCTCACCAAATAGATGAACCAAAATCTTCAGAACCAAAGTTGAAGAAGACCCAAAATAACGAACCAAACTATCTTCAAAAACGAAGCAGCCGAACAAGCACACTGATGGTGCTTCCGAGAACAAAAACCAAAGCACCCAAAATTTGTTTCCACCAAATTGATTAGCCCAAAATCAATTAGCAGCTACGTTATTTACACCAAATTGAATTGCAGCTACTTCACTTTTTCGGGTCACACACAACACAATATATATATTAGTTATAATATATATGTTGTGAATCTTGGGTTTTGTAATCAAACCTAATTGTATTCAAATTGGATTGGGTTTCCTCAAATATAATATATAAAAATATATTATACTAAACCAAGTCAAATTAAAACTCTTTAACAAACCAATTGGGTCCCACACTCCAATAAGGAGGTATACCCAACACTAATATCATTTGCATATAAGAGCAATATAGGGGTAGTTTTGACTTTCCACCAAGTGTAATGCCCCATCAGGTAAAAGTAGGAAGAAAAATTAGTGCCCTCACTAATTAGGTGACAGTGGGTTCCACTATTAATGATGTGATGTTTTGGTTTTGGAGTTATAATTTTTTTTTTTTTTACTTTTTTAATGCACACTACTAAAAAAAACACTTTTTGCGACCGTCACAAGCCGTCGCAAATAATAAAAATACAGTCGCAAAAGACTTTTTGCGACAGCCTATGCGACCGCAAATGGGGGACGCAAATGTGGGGGTGGCAAATACTTTTTGCGACGGCAAAACAACAGTCGCAAATTATTTGCGACCACCTAAACTACTTTTTGCAACAACTATTTTGCCGTCGCAAAAAAAAATTAAAAAAAAAAAAACACTTTCAGCGACCATTGTTTTACTGTCGCAAATAATTATTTCTTAAAAACAAAATCATATACGGGTTTGTACAACAAAAAAAAATCAATTGCAAGCACCAAACAATTTTTTATTAATGAAAAATAACAAAATTAACAAATTAATTAAATTTATAATAGACATTATCCATTATCCATCCTTAAATACACTGTACTAAAAAATTCAAGTCTTAAAAAAAAAAAAAAAATTTAAGTAATAAGCCTTTAATAATGCAATTCAGATCACCTTTAGATGATACTTTCTTTGCAATGATTGCCGAGCCATTCTGGTATAGATTCCACACATCCACCAAGCAAAGAACAGACCCTCATAAATGAGAAATAATGTCTGCGGATCAATGCCATTAAGAACTGATGTAAATGCAGCAAATGTCATACCACCTTCGACACATATGATATGACCAACACAGGCAGCCCTTTGAGAGATATCAGCGTTCAAGTTTTCAACGTTACGTCCAAATAACACAAATGGGCAGAATAGTCCAGTCAAGCCTATAAGATGAACAAATGATTCAAAAATAAACGAGGATCTCAATAATGCAAAACACAAAATACATTCAGACATCCTTATCCAAAGAAGAAGCAATTATTCTGTGTAAATTTAGATGTATAAATAATGCAGACATGTTGAAGCATTGCAACATGGTCACACAGAAGGCATAAATGCATAATAGCTTTATCTGAGGAAACAAATAATTTAGGATCCACACCACTAGTTGGTACTTCCTATACATGACCATATTGTTAAAAGATATTTTGTAACTACCAGAGAATTCAAATGTAAACATTTTAGATGGATTTCAATGAACATGAAACAGGTACAATCTTACCTATGCTCGGAGAACCTTCCACGATATCTCTTGCAGTTAAGTATCTCCTGCAACCCATTTTATCGGCATGTTCAAGAACTAACTTGGCTCTTTCTAAAGGATCTTTAGCAGCCAATGTAGATGTATTACTATGCTCAGGGGCAAGAACATTTAAAAGGTGAGCATAAGCCTCTGCATCCTGCAGGGAATGCATATTGTTTGCTTAAAATACTACAAAGTCAAATCAAATCATAATTTTTCAATATTGAGGCACATACTAAAAAGAAAAACTTCTTAAAGTTCTCTTTGATAAGCAATGGAACTGAACTAAAAAGAGAACGTAACATCAAAGTTCTTCATATCAAAGGTGCATCTAAGGAGTACAGATATTACAAATAAAATAAAGTAAATAGCCAAATATTGCCCTGAACAGTAGTTAAACTGCTTTTCTAACGTATTAACTAAAAACCAGAAAACTGTAAATAAATATTTCAGACAAACTAAAACAAATTTCCTTCTTGTTTTTGGGACTCCAATAAAAACAAATGGAAGAGAAGAAAACAAATTGTATACAGCTACAAGCACTTCCTGAAAACTGATGACTACATAATTCCATGTTCAAGGAGATGGAGTATGTAACTTAGCAACTGCTTATCATCACACAGTGAGTTACTACATTAGGTTGATGGTAAAAACAAGCAGCATAAAACTAATATTATAGATCCTGATAGGATTTAATTAAGGGAAACTGCCTGGTTCCAGGGCATCAGATAAGAAAAGAACTTCGGTGATGAGCTAAAACAAACTTTCTTGTGATCAATGATAAGTCGATAAGGTGGAAAAAGAAAAGAAAAAACAAACAAACAAATCGAAACCAGAAATAATTACACAAAATACCCCAGACTTACCTATTCAACTCCTCGTAGGGCTTGGAAAAAATTAGAAAAAAAGAAGGGAAAAACAAAAAAAAAAACTGGGGAACACTGTTGTTAACTGATGGTCCATTAATCGTGATTCTTGTATCTAGTACAATAGATGGTTGCCTTCCTAGAAACCATGCTTTTAGCATAAAATAGAACTTATCAATTAGGCACATCAAAATAAAATTCTAAAAAAAATCATATCTTCCTTAAATTGAGGTCTGCCAATAGTTGTATTTGAAATAGCATGTTAGGAAGGTCAGAGCTTATCCATTTATAGAGTAAAATGCTAACAATTATTTTAGGAAGCCCTGTACTCATCTTGGACCAAATTAATGCCTACATAAGGACAAAGATCAAATTGTTGACCATATTATATTATAAGCATAAGAATATGGTTGACCAAATTCACATTCATATTCTATCATGATTATTAAACGAAGAACCACGGGAACTAAAATATACAAATAAAGCCTAATGGAAGGGCACAAATATATATTCTCACACTAAGACTTGATGCATAAATTGGTTAAATGATGTCAAACATTACCATCTTTGCACCAAGTCCAAACTTTCCGCCTGTCTGCTTCAAGCCATATTTTGTCCCAGACAAAACTACACAAATATAAATATTCTCACAATAAGTCAATATTACAATATCATTATAGAGTTGAAACATATTAATCCTAACAATTCTCAATGTAATATGAACACATTGAATGTCTATGTTCAAACAAATATTCCAGTCCATGTGCCAACAATAAATCGTATCAAATGGAAATGGTATCTTGCAAGTAGTGTCAAACCTCATCCAAACATATTGGGAATATCATCATGTGGCATTCCTCTTCCATTGTCCTACATTAAAAGCAAAGCATAGTAAATAGAGTCAACCTACAGAGAATAGTAATTTGGGCATAGCTTTCACCGCTTTCTGCAACAAATATTGCAAAGCCAATACACAAATCGCTTTACCTTTCCACACAACCAAGGCAAAAGAGAAACAGATCACTAGTTTTCATGGTGATGGCACTTCATTCACCCCCGGTCACCCTCTCTAACTTCACAAACCACTAACCATTAAAAACACTTCCCAATCTAACGCCAAATACACCAGTCAGTCACCCACCCTGATTTATGATCAGATATGTACCTAAGAATATATTGTGGATCATACCAATGATAATCAGCTAGTTCTAGATCACAAAATAATAAAAATAAAAATTTAGAAATTCCTAGAATCATTGTATGATGGCAAAATTGGAGTAATATCATTTTGATGATTGAAGATAATCAAACATATCCATCAAACATAATTCTTCATCAATAATCAATCATTTTGGAGCCATTTTTTTCATCACATTTGAATCTGATGAAAAATTTGATGAACAATTGGAGATGCACAACCAAAAGAGACAAAACTGATAAAATTATAAAGCATTATAAGAAATCCAAATGAATTTAACCTCTGAGAGAAACAAAGAACTCCGAATAGAATTGCCTAGAGTTGAAACTAACCTGCTCAATATGTCCTTGAGGAAAATAGAACACGCGCTCGCCTTCAGTCAAGAATTTAACCTCTAAGAATAGACAAAACAAGAATTTAACCTCAATATGTCCCTCTCTCCTTTCTTCAAACATATTCAAAAAATTTGATTATAGAAATCACCAAAGACATTCACAACATCCAACAAGCAAAAGTTCCAACAGCAAGAGCAATGATGAATACACTTGTACCGAGTGATAATGATTCATGTCAATGTCAATGTCAATGCTAACAAATCGATCAACTAGAAAATCCAATCAGCATGATCAACGAACTAATTTAATATCACATATAAATCAAGCAAATTCAACACTAGGACTTTTTATCTTCCAAATTCAAATTTACCAGTTCTTGCCTCAACAAATTCAAAATTGCCGATAATAAATGAAATCTTGATTTCAAGTTAAAAACAATAATGTACTACTCACTATAATGTATTGAAGAAGAAATTGAGAGATATACACTAATAGATATGAAAAATGTAAGAAAATAGGGCAAAGAATAAAATGAGTTGAACCAGTACATACCTGTATGAGAATGAGACGAATTAGTCGAACCAGAGCTTCCTCGTATGATATGTATGTGTGGCTAGAGATAGATAGATAAATAGATAGATAGATAGATAGATATAGAGAGAGAGATAGAGAGAGAGAGAGAGGGATTGGGGGCGAGATTGAGAGAGATTCATACCGCTGGAGATCTTCAGACGACGATGATGAGCGAGAAAGCAGAGTTATACAGGTCTGTTGAACGCGTACGAGAGAGAGAGAGAGAAAGAGAATGATCCGCCATAGATCTTTAGAGCTATTTGTCAATTCTCTCTCTAGAATCATCTAGAACACAAGCTATCAGAGATACAAACACAAAAATATCCATGTATATAAAGAGAGAGAAAGAGACCTGGAAGAGGTTGAGGAGGGCAGGAGCGAAGGCGAGGCAGCCGAAGGAGAGAGAAACGTTAATGGCGACCTGAGATCTGAGAGCTTCGACGATTGATTTAAGACACACACAGAGAGAGAGAGAGAGAGAGAGAGAAAGAGAGAGAAAGAGAATGATCCGCCATAGATCTTTAGAGCTATTTGTCAATTCTCTCTCTAGAATCATCTAGAACACAAGCTATCAGAGATATATACACAAATATATGCATGTATATAAAGAGAGAGAAAGAGACCTGGAAGAGGTTGAGGAGGGCAGGGGCGAAGGCGAGGCAGCCGAAGGAGAGAAACGCGTTACTGGCGACCTGAGAACTGAGA